TATAATATATTATTATTTCTTACATTTTCGAAAATATTCTATAGTCTATACTTTTAATTGCTCCAGTAGTTTTGGGGTATATTCAACACTAAGAAACAAACAAGAAGATCTTTCCTCTTTATATAATAGTTTTTATATAAACCCGACAAGCGTTGCTTTGCCTCCAGCGAATGCTTATGTGCCATGGTGCATTCATCCCAGATAATAATTTTACACTGTTTAAGTTTAGTGGCCATGGATGATTGTGTTTTAATGCTACAAACAGCATCTGGATCTGGTTAACGTGGCCTTTGATTTTGAATGTGGAATTAAATTGTTGACCATTTGCAGAAGTATTTTCAATTACTTCCGTTGCTCCAAACAATCTCGTTTGAAAACATGAATTGAATTAAATAAATCAAGTAGAAAAACTGTTTGGTGATAAACAGTGACGTAATATTGTATTCGATTGCTCATTATTTGGCTTACCTTTACACGTATATTTATTAATCACGTTTACGTATTAACAAAATGTGCATGAATAATTGTTTAACATGAGAGCATGACCGAAAACTGTCACTGTTATCAGGCATTCTGAGTAAATTCTCAATGGCAATGCAAAGATACTCAATAGCAATCAAAGCTTCATTGTACATTGCGTCACTGAATAATATCGAAATTTCGTTGCGTAAAAAAAAAAAACAAGTAAGAAAGCTCTAGTCGAGACGGCTCGACTACGATATCCCCTGAACCCTTCGAACAACTGATATTTCATACACAGACATACGTACGCATGCATAAGCACGCATTGGCTGCAGTGTTGGCTTACTATGGAAACTTAATTAACTTTTCTTGTGGATGGACTATCTTCATCAAACTTTCAGATTATGAATATAACATAGATATGCATGTATTTGCCAAAGCACAAGTCCCTAGTATTTGAAATACGTCTTTTACAAATGTGAAGGTGAGGGGGTGAATTAGAGGTGGGGGGTAATTTTTGACAAAAACCGAAATTGTATAAAATGCATATACATCAAAATTTTGGAGTCTAGCTTTAAAGATGTAGCAGATATAAATTTATTACTGGTTTTCGATAACAAAATAACGGGAAAATGTATCGATATTTAAAGCAAAACTCTAGCTATTATATCTTCTGAGATCGACGTGTTCAAACATACGGACAGACGGACGCACAGTCGAACAGGGCTAAATCGACTCTGCTCGTCGTCCTGATCAAGAATATATATACTTTGTGGGGTCTGCCACGCCTCCTTCTGCCTGTTACATACTTTTAACAAAACCATTATACCCTGATTTCCCATTGAAAATGGGTTCAGGGTATAAATAAAAACGGATGGTGGCCCGTCTTTTAAACTTAGGACCATAAAAAGTAGATGTTGGCCGATTCTCAGACCTACCCGACCTGCATATAAAATTTCGTGAGTATCGGTTGAACCATTTCGGAGGAGTTTGGCAACAAATACCATGACACGAGAATTTTATTCATAAGATAGATAGATATAGTATAGATATACATATGTAAGTATTTTGAATATATTGGGCTTTCGCCTACTTGCCTCATTCCTTTCTGCATGCCCTCTTACTTATGCGTGTATTTTTTGTATTTTATTGAAATTTTAAAGAATTATACATAAATATGTGTACATATATATGTATACAATTGAAACAAAGTATACAACATTCGATTAAGTTGCAATCAATCTAATTAACGACGCCATCCATAATCCGGACTGCAGCCCACGGATCCGGCGAATTGTGGAGAATCGCAGAACTCCTGCTGATCGTAGTAGGCGCACGTGGGACTACGGCAGTGATAGTTGTAGCAGTACGAGGAGCAGAATGTCATGTGGCCGAACGCGCAGCCGCTACAGTCATAACGATCTTGTTGGAATAGAATACATCAATGAATATCGTTCAGGTTTATCTTTAAGTGATTCAAGATACTAAGATCAATATTATTAAGATCAATTAATATTATTTCATATGTGATATCTAAGTCACAGATTAGTATTAGATATTGAAATATTGAATATGAATCGAGTATACAAACAATGAATCAATGAGATGTTTGATATTTGATAAATCAAGATTGACTTTGAAAATTTTCTGCGTAAATTTCTATTACCAGTTAAATAAAATTATTGACTTAAGATCTAGAAATCAGCTCCACTTACTTGATGTTCGTGGACAGTTGCCCTGCATCTGGCAATCGGAGTTCCAGTTGGGAGGCATGGTGAGCATTTGGTAATTGTTCTCGTTCCAGCTGCTAATCCTGGCTGGCTTTAAAGCCATTTTTGGGGCGCTGCATACGTCGCCACATACTTGCTGTTTGGGATTGAAGCACTGCCAGCGATTGCTCTGCGATGAGCTTCGACAAGTGCGTGGTGCAAGAACCGTACAGCATTTGGGTGGTGGCCTAGATGTGGGTAGAACAATCGGCGGTAAGATCTCCTTCTCTTCAGATTCCTCTACATAATCCCTATAGTCCGTAGGCAGAGTCAGCGAAGCGTTGACTGCCAGATGCTGCACATTGTTGAGCGCAATGTCGGGCGTGCTCTTGGATTCCTGGATGATTGTTCGTTCGAGGTGAATCGGTGCCACTTCCACGGGCTGTGGATAAACGCATTTCAGACCCGACCAATAGGTACCCTTAGGGCATCGCGGCTCCACACAATGAACATCGTTATAGACTCCCTTACCACAATAAACCAAGTGGCATGTATCGTTGATGAGCACTGTGCCCTTTGGACATTGGCGCAATGGAGCAGGAGGCGGCTGGGTGGTTGGTCTTTTGGTTGTCGTCGTTGTTGTTGTAGTTGTCGTTGTTGTYGTTGTTGTTGTAGGTGCAGGAGGATAGGGTGTAATAGGTTGAGCCGGTGTGGGAGTAGGTTGAGGTTGCACTGGAACGATGGGATAGGGTGCCACAGGTTGATTCGGACAAGGGAGAGGTTGAGTTTGTATTGGAACGCCCGGAGAGGGTGCCACAGGCTGATTCGGACAAGGGAGAAGTTGAGGTTGAGTTTGAGGT